CAGCATCCCATGTGGGCACTGGTTTGTGTCCCGTCTACTCTTAGCTCTCTGCTATGGCCTGGGAAAGCAGTAGAAGATGGCTCAAGTCTTTGGGTCCCTGCACCCACTTGGGAGACCCAGAAGAAGCTCCAGGCTCTTGGCTTCTGATGAGCCCAACTCCAGATGTTGCAGCAATTTGGGAAATGAACCAATGGATAGAAGACCTCTCTGTCTCTGTCTCTCTCTCTACCTCTGCTTCTCTGTGACTCTGCCTTTCAAATAAATCAATCAATCTTTTAAAAAAATACATTTACAGAGGCCGGCGCTGTGGCATAGCCGGTAAAGCTGCCACCTGTAGTCCTGGCATCCCATATGGGCGCTGGTTTGAGTCCCGGCTGCTCCACTTCTGATCCAGCTCTCTGCTGTGGCAGAGCATAGAAGACTGGCCCAAATCCTGCACCCATGTGGGAGACCCAGAAGAAGCTCCTGGCTTCAGCCCAGCCCCGGCCATTGAGGCCACTTGGGGAGTGCACCAATGGATGGAAGACTTCTCTCTCTGCCTCTCTGTAACTCTGCCTTTCAAATAAATAATAAAATAAATCTTAAAAACAAACAAACAAAAAGATTTACAGAGAGAGGGAACCATCCGCTGGTTCACTTCCCGAATAGCAACAGTCATGGCTTGGCCAGACTGAAACCAGGAGCCTGGAACTCCATCCAGGTCTCCTATGTGGGTGCAAGGGCCCCAAAACTTGGGCCATTATCTGCTGCTTTCCCAGGCACATTAGCAAGGAGCTGTAGCAGAAGTGGAGCGTATGAGATGCCTGTGTTGCAGGCAGCAACTTAACCCACTGCACCACAATGCTGGCCCTAGCCCCTGCATTCTTAAATTTCTCTCCTATGAAACATTCTCCCTTTGAAGGCTGACCTTGACAATCATTTGGATCTGATCCTCCCCCCCGATCCCCAGAGAGCAAATATTGATTCTGGGAAAACCTCCCTGGGCCTCTGGCCTTCTCCAGGAGTTATGAGGCAGGCGGTGGAAAATTGCGAGAGTCTTGCTGAGTCAACTTTAAAAAGATGCTGGGAAGAGCAGTGCGCTCCTCCTGTCCTGAGGTCCCTGCCAGCTGAAGGTTAGAATAATATCTCCCACACATCTTGCTGGGCCTTGTTCTCTCTCCCTAGCCGGGGACCAAGGCCAGCTACTCAAGGAGGGAATTTGTGTCCAGCTAAGAGAGACTGGCTCTGGCTTTCTGAGGCCCGAGTGTGAACTTGAGTAGTGCCTGAGAAAATTTAGTGGGACAAGGAGTCACAGAGCCAGGGCATGTGCCCCGCCCCTGGAGCCTGCACCCCTCGGCCCCAGGGTCTGCCTTCCCAAGAGCAGGTTGTGCTGCCAGTGTGGACTCCCTGGATGTGTGCGTGTGTACCAGATCACTCAAGGGCAGGGGTTCGGCCTGGCAGCTAAGATGCTGGTGAAGACACCCGTGTCCCATGTCAATCTCCAGCTCCAGCTCCCAGTTCCATCTTCCTGCTAATACAGACATCAGGCGATGGTTCAAGTAGGTGGGTCCCTGCCACCCACGTGGGAGACATCAACTAAATTACTGGCTTCTAGCTTTGGGCCTAGCCCAGACCATTGCAGACATTTAGGGAGTGAACCCGCAGATAGGAGCTCTGTCTCTGTCTCTCTGCCTTTCAAATAATAAAAAAAATTTTTTTTAAAAAGACCCCTCAATGTGCATGACAGTGCAAGGACAAGAGAAGGGGGCACCTGTCCCCCATCATGTCCAGGTGGAGAACTCCCAGGAGCTCAGAATTCCAAATTTGAATCTGTTCCGCCAGACTGAAGATATATGTGTCAACAGGGCAGGATGGGTGATCTTTTAGTTGACAGTTAGTTAACATGATTGAGATGCTGACGGGCGGCAAGTGAGTACTGTGGCTCCAGTGAGCGGGGTGGCGGTCACTCACTGCATCTCATCCCCCGGCAGTCGGAGCACTTCAAGACCACGTCGCAGAAGGTGGCTCGCAAGTTCTGGTGGAAGAACATGAAGATGATTATCATCATCTGCGTGATCGTGTTCATCTTCATCCTCATCGTCGTGCTCCTGTCCACTGGTGTCATCCCCACTTAAGGGGCCCGCCCCACCCCGCCCTCCCCTCTTCAGGGGCAACCCTCCAGAATGGATGCCAAGAGGGGCCCTTGCTCCTCTCTCTCCTCCTCCCAGGGAATGCTGCTTGGATTTCCCCGGGGCCCCTCTGGTGCAGGATGCACCCCCCTCCCCCCAGCACCTTGGTCTCCCAGTAGGAGACAGCTGGACTGTGGCTGCCTTCCACAGTCCTTAGAGCAAGTTGGAGAGACCCAGAGGGCTCAGCTGGGACGCTGTTGGTGGCCGGGGGGCAATAAAGACCTTCCCGAGTCCCCGTGTGTATGAGGCCCTTTGTCCCCAACTGCCCTTCCAGTCTGCTCCACCTGAGGACCCCTGTGCCTGAGCTATTCCCACGACAGGCCCGGGGAGGTGGACTAGGGGGCTTTCTTTATTCCTCCCTATTCCATTTGTTGTCAGGAATCTCGAGAGGGGGTCTTTTCTGGGGGTCTTTTCACCTAGAAAATCCAAAACCTTCCCAGCATTTTAGGGTGATATGCAGGATTCTTACGTGTGCCCCAGGGGTACTGCCAACGTCCTTTTATTCCTCCACTTTTGCAAATGCTAGCTGAAACCTGAAGCCTCCCTGGAAGGGGTGCTTAGGATGTGGCACGGGCGTGGGGGGGCCCCTGCCTCTGCCACCGTCCCCACCTCTCTTCTGCAGCAGCCCCCCCGTAGCCTAGACCCGAATGCCAGAGGAACTGGACTGCTTTTCTTTTCTGGTGCTCCTGAGTGTTGTGTGTGGTCAGCCCCTGCCCATCTGGGTCTCTGCTGTCCTGAGGGGGCGAGTGTCTCTCCCCCGCGTCCCATGGCTGGGCACAGTCATTGTCACAGGACAGGGCCCGTGGCCCTCCTTCCCTCCACACACAATGAGCCTCTCTGTCTTCAGGCCCCGCTCCTCCCCACCGGGTCCCACCATCATTGCTGCTCTTCCGGGCACCCGGTCTGCCTTGTTGGGTGGGGAGGGTTCTAGCCCTTTCTGTCTCTGTCGCCTCCATAGGTTTCCCAGAATTGCAGACAACCTGATGTTGGGAGCAAGTGGGGGGAGGGGCAGGCTCGGGAGACAGGGTCTGAGACCAGCTCAGAAGTCTGGGCCTGGAACCCTGCTTTGTGATCTGAGGAGGGCCAGTGCAAGTACAGGGGAGACCTGAGGCAGGCTGGGCCATGGCAATGTCCATCCTCACTCTCTATAGCTCACTCCTAGGCCTAAGGTCCAGAGAGCTGAGGTGAAGACTCTTAGAGACTGAGGCTTTCCCCGGTAAGGGTGGGGTCTGAGCTCCCAGCTCCAAGCCCGGAAGCTCTCAGCCCCTCTGTCAGGGGAGGTCTCATCTGAGTCGCTGGAGTGGAGAAGTGCTGGTGACTTCTGTGTAGCAGGGAGAGGACGGGAGGGGGTAGGAAGACCCCGCTGAGGGAGGCTCTGGAGTGGCAGCAGCGAGCAGCCTTCGCCATCCTTGGATGGAGGAGCAGGTTCCTGTCCGGGCAGGGCTGCACTTGCTGCGGTGCCAAGGACGGGGACACAGGAACGTGAGCGGCTTCCCCCTGAGGGTCTGCTTTCTTTTTAAGTTGAGGTGAGATTCACAGGACTTAGAGTATAACATTTCAACACGTACAATTCAGAGACAGGTATTGTATTCAGAATGTCGTGCAGTGGTTAAAACGCTGCTTGGCTAAGTGCTTGGGTCCCTGCCCCTGCGTGGGAGACCTAGAAGAAGCTCCTGGTTCCTGATAGGCCCAGCTCCTTCTGTTGCAGCCATTTGAGGAGTAAACCAGCAGATGGAAGACCCTTCCCCACCCCCGCCTCTGTAACTCTGCCTTTCAAATAAATAAATGAATCTTTAAAAAAAAAAAATGTTATTTGGGATGCCTGCATCCCGTTGTCAGGGTACCTGGCTCTGAGTCCCGGCTGTGCTTCCAATTCCAGCTTCCTATTAATGCAGACCCTGGGCAACATGGGGAGGGGGATAAGGGCTCAAGTAGCTGGGTCCTTGCCACTCACATGGGGGACCTAGATCTAGTTCCGGGTTCCTGACTTTGGCTTGGCTCAGCCCCAGCCATTGTGGCCATGTAGGGAGTGAACCAGCTGATCAGAGATCTCTTTCTATTGCTCTGGCTTTCAAATAGTCAATTAATAATCTAAGGGACCAGTGTTGTGTTGTAGAGGGTAAAGCCGATGCTTGCAGCGCCAGCATCCCACATGGGCTGGTTTGAGTCCCGGCTGCTCCACTTGCAATCCAGCTCCCTGCTTATGCGCCTGGTAAACACAGTGGAAGATGGCCCAAGTCCTTGGGCCCCTGCACCCATGTGGGAGACCTGGAAGAAGCACCTGGCTCCTGGCTTCGGCCTGGCACAGCCCCAGCTGTTGTGGCCATTTAGGGAGTGAACCAGCAGATGGAAGATGTCTTTCTCTCTCTCTCTGCCTCTCTTCTGTAACTCTGACTTTCAAATAAATAAATAAATCTTTAAAAAAAAAACCAATAATTTAAAAAGGAAGAATATTGTGCAAGCATCACTTCTCTAGTTCCAAAACTTTCATGCGTCAGCTTTGGTTTGGGGTGAGATGCACCCACTGAGACCCTACCTGGCTTGCTCAGGGCCGCCAGCGCCTGACAAGGACACTCTACAGATGCTTGTTGAATGAACGGATGACACTTCCCTAGCTCACCTACAGGGTGTCAGATGCAGCACTAAAGAGGGTTCCAGGACCGGCTCCATATGCCCATCTCACCCACTGGGCTCTGAACTGCATTCAACCTGCAGGCTGGCGCCCGGAAGCACAGTAGCTGACCAGGTTGGGGTGTCATTGCAAGTCGGGCGCCGGCGGCCCGGCAGGAGGCGCCCCCACTGACCTGGGTCGCTGTCGCTGGCCGCTTTCGGTTTGTCTTGGTCCCCGTCGCCTCTCTCGGCTCGCGGAAGGCGCGCCCCCCGCCCCCGCCGGCCGGCCCCGCCCCGTCCCGCTTCCTCCCAGGCCGCTGGCACCGCTGCCGCTCCACGGGCAGAGCAGCCGGGCGCGGGCGAGGCGGCGGCAGCGGCGGCGATGGTGAGCCCCCGGCGGGGCGGGCGGGCAAGGGACCCAGGGCCAGCGCAGGGGTCAGACCACGCATCACAGGTCCGAGACCAGGGGCGTGGGCTCGGACCCGACGAGGTGACTGGCGGCTGCGAGCAGGACCCGGGCCAGACTCCCCCGGCCGCGCTCGCAGCCCGGGAGGGAGAGGGGGGCGTGCGCCCCGTGGGGCTGCCCCGCGCAGCGCGTGGTGAGCGGTGAGCGGGGCTCGAGCTTGCCTTTCTTCTGGAGCCAAGTAGCTGGGAGCGCCGCTTTGGAGTAGGACTCCGAGTTGGGATCCCGGTTCTGTGACCCCTGGCAAGTCACTTAACCTCCCCGAGTCTCCTTTTCCGCATCCGAGAAGTGGGGTCACCAATAGCTGCCTTGTTGGGTGCAATGGCCGAGACCCGCCTGGCACTCAACTCACTGCTAAGGAGTGGTAGGTAATGCGATGACCTCTTCAGCCCTTCCCCGAGGCGGTAGGAGCCAAGCCTGGCCCTGGAGCTGGAAACCTGAGCGGATGGCTAGTGGTTCCAGTCCCGTGGCAGGGTGGAGGAGGACAGACACTCCCCCTCCCTCGGGGAAGAAAAGTGTTTATGTAAAAGTTCATTGAAGTTATCAGAGTATGGCCCGATCCCTTCCTAACCTCTACCTAGTGACATATTCCTGGGTTGAGTCACCCCCGCTCTGGCTACAGTCTCTGGCTTTGTCCCGTCTTGCCAAAGCTGAGATGTTAGGGACAGCTGGTGCCAGCACACTCCCCTCCCCACTATTCCCCTGCCCCGAGGTCTGTGGGAAGGTGGGCCAGGCAGGAAGCAGGCTTGGTGCTTTAAGGTTCTGCCTTGGAGAAGTTGGCAGAGGAGTGATGGATGTGGCCTGGCTAGGGGTCCTGATGCATGGCCTGGTCCCCAGGGAAACCAGGCAGGAAGAGGAAGTGGAGCAGGAAGGTAGCACTGAACTCAGAGGCCATGCCAGGAAACTGAGCGGGGCCCTGAGAATAGAGCCCAGAGTCCACTTCTGAGCGTGCAGGATGAGGGACCTGGCAGGGCTAGGGGTGGGCTTTTAAGTGACCCCTAGCTTCCCAGCTGAAGAGGAAACTCCTGAAATGAAGGCTGAGGCCAGGATAATTTGTTGGGGGAAACTGAAAAGCTTCAGGACCTGAACAAATAGAGCATTAGAGTCTGAAGAAGATACACAGTCGCCCGTTGATATACGCCGGGGATTGGTTCCAGGACACTCATGGACACCAGAGTCTGCAGAGGCGCCAGTCGCTTTTACAAAATGACCTGGTGTTTTTATAGAATCTGTGCACATTCTCCTGTAGTCGTAAGTCATCTCTAGATTACTCAGGATACCTAATACAATGCTTTATACTATTGTTTAGGGAATAATATGACAAGTCAAAAAATCTGTACATGTTTCTATAGATGTAATTTTTTTAAAGATTTATTTATTTTATTTATTTGAAAGGCAGAGTTAGAGAGAGAGAGAGAGAGAGAGAGAGAAAATCTTCCATTTGCTAATTCACTCCCTAAATGGCTGCAATGGCCAGGAGCCAGGAGCTTCCTCTGGGTCTCCCACATGGGTGCAGGGGCCCAAGGACTTGGGCCACCTCCTGCTGCTTTCCCAGGCTATTAGCAAGGAGCTGGATCAGAAGTGGAGCAGTCAAGACTCCAACCGGTAATCATATGGGATGCTGGCACTATAGATGGCTGCTTAACCTGCTACGTCATAGTAGCGGCGCCCAGATGCCATTTTTACAAAATATTTCCGGTCTGTGGTAGTCAGACCCACAGATGGAGAACATGCGGAGGGCTGACTGTGTTGATCTGTCTCCCCCAGCCTGCTGTCTCCCAGCCTCATACTCCCATCCCTTCTTTCACTCCTGTCCCTTTCTTTTTCCGAAACTCTTTCACTTCCTTTTCCCCCTCACCTTTTCCTACCCGATCCTTCTTCTTTTTCTACTTTTCTCTTCTGTGACTCATTCATTCAGCAATAATTTCATGGGCATTTCCTTTGTGCCAGCTGTGATGACAGGCACAGGGGATCAGGGAGGAGCAAAGCAGTACGGGAAAGACAGAGGTGAATGAGTAATTACTTGAGTTAATCTTATAAATGGGCCTCTCTCCAAAGACTTTGTGTTTGGAGCCGCAGGCCTCCCTCATATGCACACAAGCATTGAAAGGTGTGGTGGTCTTCAGCCGGCCAGCTAAAGCACTGAACCTCCCTTTACCTGCACCTAATTTACCACAGGGGTTGAGATGCTGATCCCCGGAATCTATGTTGGTTCAACTCCCAGAGCTTCTGTTCCCTCTGACCGTGACTGGTGATTTAACATCTCTGTCCCAAAGTTTCCTGTAAAGCTGGGATAGTAATGCTGTCTTCAGTGGACTGGTGTGAGGGATACATCAGATGGAGATGGAACAAATGAACAGCCAGCAGCGCAGTGCCTAGCTCAGGGCACGTGCTGAATGAACGGTGGCTGCTATTACTGCTCAAGATGTCAAACTGAGGCCTGGCTCCGTGGCACAGTAGGTTAATCCTCCGCCTGCGGCGCCGGCATCCCATATGGGTGCCAATTCTAGTCCCGGCTGCCCTTCTTCTGATCCAGCTCTCTGCTATGGCCTGGGAAAGCAGAAGATGGCCCAAGTGCTTGGGCCCCTGCACCCACATAGGATGATCTGGAGGAAGCTCCTGGCTCCCACATGGGAGACCAGGAAGAGGCACCTGGCTCCTGGCTTCGGATCGGCATAGCTCCAGCCATTGTGGCCTTCTGGGGAGTGAACCAATGGAAGGAAGACCTTTCTCTCTGTCTCTCCCTCTCACTATCTATAACTCTACCTCTCAAATAAATAAATCTAAAAAAAAAAAAAAAGTCAAACCTTTCCAACAGCCTGTAGCACCCAATGGGAAGAAATGAGATGCTAGTTCTCAAAGGCCTACAGAGGGTTCTGAATTTAAGCACCCAGGTCTGCAATGGGGAAGACCTTGCTTGGCTGAGCATGTTGTAAAATGATCTAAGAGGCTTTGCTAACCACCAAGATTGGCAGGGAAAGAAGCTAGGGAAATGTGGGCTACACCAATATTAATAACTCTTCTTTACTGAGCACTTAGTATGTGTCAGCCATTGTGCCAAGCATTTTGTTTACGACCTGTTACATAACCTTGAGCTGGCATTATGCGGCAGGTGTCACTATTATCACCACCTTACAGATGAGGGGTGCGGAGGCTCAGGAAGGCTGTGTCCCCAGTCTCAGTCACTCAGCTGGTGAATGGCAGAGGCAGGATTTGAACACACAGAGGGATGCAGCGCAGAGCCCCACCCGCACTTAGACTCTGGGCTCAGCTGAGTGCTGACCCAGGGAGGAGATGATAGCCTGGAAGCTGCACCCATGTGATGACACTGAACAGGAGAGAGGGCCCGGCAGGGAGGTTTGAGAGAACTGTGCTTTCAGAGGAGGAACCCAGAGTGTGACACCTGGAGGAGCCTGCCTGGAGATCTGTGCATTGTAGGAGGATATTCTGTGCAGAGTGATGGTCTGTCGGAACACTTCCTGTGTAACTGTCACCCTCTGTGTGGCAACAAGGACTCCCACTCTCCCTGGCTCAAAACCTCAAGCCTGGGCGGGTGTTGTAGCACAGCAAATTAAGCCACCACTTGTGATGCCCGCATCCCATATCAACAGTGCTGGTTCGAGTCCAGGCTGCTCTGCTTCCAATTCAACTTGGATGGAGTTCCAGGCTCCTGGCTTCTGCCTGGCCCAGCCCTGCCTGTTGTGGGCATTTGGGGAGTGAACCAGCAGATGAAGATTCTCTCTCTCTCTTCCTCCTCTCTTTCTCTGTTGCTCGCTTGCTTGCACTGATTTCCCAGGCACATTAGCAGGAAGTTAGATTGGAAGTGGAGCACCCAGGACTTGAAAGGGCACCCATATAGGATGATGGTGTCATAGGCAATAGCTTAATCCACTGCACTGCAATGCCAGCCCCAGCTCTGCCTTTCAAGTCGATAAAAATAAATAAATAAACATGTAAAAACAAAATGAAACAAAACCCCTCAAGCTTTGCAAGCCCCTGGCAGCTGTCAGAAGAGCCTCTTTCACCCACCTTCCTCTTTGAGCTCTTGGCTGCTCCCCCTCCCCGTGCGTGGTGGGCATCTTCCCACACTCTGGCTGATGGCATTTCTCCCCGACTGCATGGCTGCTTCTCTGCCCTGACTTTTCTCACTTCCATCTGTGCCTGTCCAGCACCAATGGGGAAATGTTCTTCATCATTGCCCTTGGCCCTGTGCACGTGTGTGTTACTGTTCCCTCCAAGCCAGCCTCCTCTACTGGACTTTTACTGCTCTCTCCAGCCCCACCCTGCCCCTTCACCCGTACTCTCTGCCTGCTCCGTCACTGTCTGGGGCGTTCCCTTGGCTCTAGGTTGCAATGCCCCAGCTTCAACCCATCCTGCAAGGGTTCCTCCATCCCATGCTTCCAATCACAGTTCTCACCTTGTTACTTGCACCCTCTGTGGGCAGCTGCATCACTTACAGCTCATATCTCACAGTGTCACTGTTTACTCTTCAGGGAGAGAGGGAGAGAGAGGAAGAGAGAGGGAGAGAGGGAGAGAAGGAGAGAGAGGGAGAGAAAGGGAGAGAGCGAGAGAGGGAGAGAGAGGGAGAGGGAGAGAGAGGGAGAGGGAGAGAGGGAGAGAAGGAGAGAGAGGGAGAGAGGGAGAGAAGGAGAGAGGGGGAGAGAAGGAGAGAGGGAGAGAAGGAGAGAGAGGGAGAGAAAGGGAGAGAGCAAGAGAGGGAGAGAGAGGGAGAGAAGGAGAGAGAGGGAGAAGGGAGAGGGGGAGAGAGGGAGAGGGGGAGAGAGAGGGAGAGAGAGGGAGAGGGAGGGAGAGGGAGAGGGGGAGAAGAGGGAGAGGGGGAGAGAGGGAGAGGGGGAGAAAGTTGGAGAGGGGGAGAGGGGAAGAGAGGGGGAGAGGGGGAGAGAGGGGGAGAGGGAGAGAGAGGGAAAGAGAGGGAGAGGGGGAGAGAGGTCTCCTTAAAAGATCTCCTTTTATTCCAAAAACAGTTGTCCTGGACTTTAGGCTGAGTTACAGTGTGGCGGAAGGCAGCACGGCCCTTGCCTCCCCCCTTGCCTGGTGCTTTATCTCGCGCCGTGCTAGCAGACACCTGTGCACACACGGTCTGTGTCCATTTTCCCCTGGTTGAGTGGGCCAGGGAGAGCCTGAGACTTGAGAGTCTGATGGCTCTGTGTTTCAAGTGTGTTCTTTTCAGCCTGGGTCCATCTTGGCTCTGGACAGGCCTGGCTTCGCAGTGTCGAGACTGCTCCAGATAACAGCTGGAGGCCCAGCCAGCTCTCCGCGGAGAATGTGACCCCACATCACCCCTGTTGGAGAACGAGAACAACAGCTGTCACATTCAGAGTAGCAAAAATAATGCCCAGCACCCCACCAGTCTCTAGCAGTGATTCTTATTTCCAAATCATTGCCCGTCACCGAGTTTTTGCCTTAGACTTGGAATGTGGGGGAGTTCAAAGGATCACATCACGGAGCCTCAGGGAGTAACAGGGCAGCCATGGCAAAGAGGGTGGCTGGCTCAGGAAAAGCTTCCCTGCCCTCCTTCACCCTTCCTCTGTGCTCCCCAACCTGTGAGCACCCCTCCTCCCAGTGCTTTGCCTGACCCCGCTTGAAGCAGGTTGTTTTTCAGGCTCATGAGTAAACACTGACCTATTTGGGTTTCAGATGCCTGCCCTGCAAAATTCCTGCTGGGCTGGATAAACACACTGGGGGAACATCTCTTGAGAATGCAAGTTGCTTTTGGATACAATGCAGGTGACCCACTGACTGAGCCCTTGCAATGGTCAGCACTGTGCCGGCCTCCTGGGCCCCCCAGGATGATGGCAGATGGAGGCAGGGCCCTCTCCCTGGGAGCTTGTGGTCCATTTGGAGAGCTAGGACTCATTCACTGGGAATGCATGCAAGCTGTGTGCAAGGCAGCTGCAAGGATCCTGAAGGGGGGATTCTTGCCTGAGGAGGAGGTGGTCCTCTGTGACTACTGGATCCTTCCCAACACTTAAGTCCTCTGCTTTTGAGGTGCCAAACGGTCTGCTGCAGACAGTGGCTATGTGGGCTGGCAGGAAAGGGAGTTTAGCTGATACTCTCTGCCAAGAGGAGGTGAGGATCAAGGCTGAGGTGAGGAGCTGCTGGGCTTTGCTAATCTGCCGATAGTCATCTCCCTGAAATGTCCCAGCACCTGCACCTGCACCTGCCTCCTGCCCTGAGTCTCTCTGGCCCAGGCAGAGCCAGGTGCCAGTCTTACTCATGACCCAGACGTTTCCTTTCTCCCGTGCCCTCAACCTCTCCCGGCTTGCAAGCTGCCCTTCCCTTTCCAGCCCTCTGAAAGGAGCTGTGTTTCTGTTAGGTGAAGCTGTTCAGGCTGGGAAAAATCCAAGGAAGGGTTGGTCTCTTGGCAGTGAGCTGGACCCCAGTGAAGACCCTGGCTAACTGGAAGAGGGAGGCCAGAGGCTAAGACAGCTGAGCTTCCTGGGCAGAGAGGGAGTGACTGTGGCCGCTGATGTGGTCAGCGGGCTCCTGACCAAGAGGCAGAAGTGGCCAGGAAGGAGATCTGAGTTGCTCAGTTTAGGGGAAGAAGAGAGGGTTAGGCTGGATTGATAATGCTGATCCCAAATTACCTTTTTAGCCTGAAGGGTGGGTGTCTTCCCTGTCTGGCTTCCAGCCAAGTGGCTTGGCTGCCTCTTTAGGTCAGTGGGAAGCCACAGGGCAGGTGCTTTGTGGGAGGGTAGGGTCCTCGCTGGAATCCAGGACTGATTTATGTCCTGCCTAATGGGCAAGGGGAGGAGACTGTGAGACCAAAGGTGAGCCGCGGAGGCCACGTGCCGTGCCGTGCCGTGGTGCAGCAGGTTAACTGTATCGTGTTTGGGAGTGCCGCTTAAAGTCCCAGCTACTCTGCTTCTAATCTAGCTCCCTGCTGAGGCACGTGGGAGGCGTCTGCTATGCACCTGGGAGACTCCTGGATGGAGTTCCTGGCTCCTGACTTCAGCCTGGCCTAGCCCTGGTTGTTCTGGTCATTTGGGGGAGTGAGCCAGCAGATCAAAGGTCTCTCTCTGTCTCTGCCTTTCAAATACTATTTTTTAAAAAGATAGGACAAAAAAATTTTTTAAATGGCGAGTGGCATTTACCCAGCCCCACCCCCCAACACATCACACCCTTACACGAAGGATCCTGTTACTCACATGCTGAATCCACACACAGTGGGGGGAGAGGACTGTAGGTCTCAGGGCCAGATGAGGGCCGGGGTGGGGGGGCCTCATGCAGCCCTGACCTGGGGCTTGGTGCCCAGGCAGGGAAAGAGTTGGAGCGATGCCAGCGGCAGGCCGACGAGGTGACAGAAATCATGCTCAACAACTTCGACAAGGTCCTGGAGCGCGATGGGAAGCTGGCAGAGCTACAGCAGCGTTCGGACCAACTGCTGGACATGGTGTGAGGCCCGTGGGTCAGGGAGGGGAGGGAGGGCTGGGCGAAGGCCCTGCAGGGAACGCTCGGGCTCTGCCCAGGGTATACAGACACTTGGTGGTGGCTGGGGGGGGGGGGGGGTTAGGGGCCAGCATGGGGCCTCTGGGTTTCTGAGGCACTCCTAGTAGGTATGCAATGGCCTGCCTTCAAAAATAAGACATTCTTGATTTTGTTATGGGAGAACATAAAATTTTGCTTTATGTTCTCCCTTAATAATGTGAAGCTATGTAGCTTCCTAAGGGTGGGGACTGGCATTGTTAACAAGGGGGGAGGGGCGGGTTGAGCCAGTAGGGCAGAAAGTCAGGGGTTACACCAGAGCCTGAGGCCAGGAGTGAGGCTGGGAAGATGCGGGGCAGGTTGTGGAGGAGGGGGACAGGGTGGGGAGGATGCAGGAGAGAGGAGGCCTTCCGGGGCCAGGCTGGGAGGCGCTGGTTCTGAGGCCATGGAGCGATGCTAACTCCCACTGTGTCTGCGGGTGTCCACAGAGCTCAGCCTTCAGCAAGACAACCAAGATCGTGGCCCAGAAGAAGCGCTGGGAGAATATCCGCTGCCGGGTCTACTTGGGGCTGGTGGTGGCCGGAGGCCTGCTCATCATCCTGATTGTACTGCTGGCCGTCTTTCTCCCGCAAAACAGTGGAGACAGTACTGCCCCACAAGCCCAGGATGCAACCACTGCCTCAGGATCTGGGGAATGACCCAGCTGGGCCTGGAGAGAGGCCGAAGAGCTGCACGGGCCAGTTCTAGTCTCCAGAGAACCCTGCTATTGGCTCCTGTCTGAGCCACCTCAGTGAGTGCCAGAGGGCAGCCCAGATGTGGGTACCTTTGCATCTCCCAACAAGCCACAGACTGGCCCTCAAGGGCGGCCTCCTGCACTGGCCATGCCGGGCCAGCCCCACCTGGAGCTCAGTAAAAGCTGCTGTTGGATTAAAAGATGATGATGATGTGTGTGCTGCACGTGTGCACGTGTGTGCCTGAAGCTCCCCAGGTTGGCATATCCTGCTCTGCCTCCACCCTCAGGGCTGCTTAGAAAGCCTGCCACCCAAAGGACTCCACCCCTGCAGTATAACCCGCTTCCGATTCCCTACTTGATCCAGCCCTACACAGACAGACCTTTCTGAGGTGTGGGGGCAAGGACACAGCAGCCCCCAAACCAGACCCTTGAACCCATCTTGTTTTTCTGACATCTTGGGGGGGGGGGAGCTGCGAGATGGGATGCCAAAGAGGAAAAGACGTCAAAACTCTGTAAATGAGTCTCTCACCGTCAGCTAGACCTCCCCCCTGCTGCCCCTGAACACTTTCCCCTCCCCAATTTCTCCGGCCCAGGTTCTTCTTCAGCCTTTACATACCAGAGTGCAGGTGCCCAGAGCTCCTGTGGTGCTGTGGACACAAAGTGTGGCCTGGAGTTTGTCCTGTAGGAAAGGATTCATTCGGGCTTTTTTCAAGCTCCAGGGCCACCCACGGCTTAGCAGGTGGTACCTTCAGGGCCTCGGCACAGATCTTTGTGCAACATCACAGAAGGCCAACCAAAGTGGTGGAGGCAGGGCAGCCTCTCCCTGGGTCACTTAACCACAGCTCAAACTCAAGGAAGAGTGGCAGGGGGAATTCAGAGTCAAGTGTGTAAAATAAGCAGATGCTTGTTCAGTAGAGTGAGGACTACCGACAGGAACAACCACAAGCTCTGAGAATTGTGTGGAATTTCATCCCTCCAAGAGGTCACGGCTTTCACCTTCCGGTGGTGGGAAAGACAGGGCCAAGCCTTTAGCCCTGCCTGGTCAGCCACACCACTTACAGGCTGTGTAATCTGGGTGAAGCCACTGCTGTAACTCAGGTTTTACTGATGTAAAAAGGACATAAGGATGCATAGCCCCCAGGACCATTGGGAGAATTACTGATGCGGTGTGGAAAATATCCATCACAGTTCCAGGTGCCAACCAGTAGCTGTCCCAGACATTGAGTGCAGTGGTTCTCTCATTCGAATCGGCAGAACTTAAATCAGAATATTCTTAGGGCATCAGCCCTGGAGTTATTTTCTAAAGCCGCACCTCTCATCATTCGTGTGCAGGCAGGAATACAAATATTGTAGTTCGAAGCCCTGGTTTTACAGATGCTGGATAGGAGGTTGAGCAATGGGCTGAAGGTCACACAGATGGGCAGTCCGTTCCAGGGCAGGTGAAGCCACAGGGCACAGACCTCTGCCTTTTGGTTGGGAGGCTTGCCCCGACCTTTATTATTCTACCTAACTCACGAGAAATGCGCAGGCTCCCCGCCCTCCGCGGGCTGGGGAGGAATCAAGCGCAAATCACTGAACCAACTTGAGCGCAGCGGGGCGAAAGGGCCCGGCGGGGACATGGGCAGAGCCGCGCGCAGAGCCATCGTTCCAGCCGGGCTCGTACACGCGTCCCCCTCTCCCGAGCGGTCTCTAGCGTCGCATGACCGAGGCCCTCGTGGCCTCAGGGCACACTGAGGACCCTTACTGCTCAGACGCCCGGCCTTCCAGAGCACCAAAAACGCTATCACGCCAGAAATTCCCGGGAATTCTCTCTGGTCTTGGATTCCTACATACCCTTTAACCAGCCCTGGTTTCTGCCATTGGCTTTACTCTTTGATCATCTGATTTATCCTAGCCAATGAGAGGCGCCCAAATTACTACTTCCGGCTTTTTTTTTTTTTAGTGAGCCACTATACCCGCCCGTTAGATACTCTGATTGGCCCTCCTCTCTCAACTTGCCAGTTTATTGGCCAGCACTGTGAGGCGACCGGGGGCGGGGGCCCGAGCGCTGTGTCAGACCGTGGAATAGCCATGGCGTCCTATTTTGATGAACACAACTGCGAACCGTTGGACCCAGAACGGGAGACGCGAACCAACATGCTGTTGGAGCTCGCAAGGTGGGTGCGCGGGGTTCGGGCGTGCGTCCGGGCAGTAGGTTTCTGGGTTGGGGCTTACTGGTTAAGGATTATCTGGGGCAGGACGGATGAATAATGTGGAATATTAGTCCGGAAGGCGAGATTGGGGGGTTTTCTGGGGGGCGGAACCGGGGCAAGGAAGTTGAGGGGAAGATTGGAACTGGAGAGTGGTGGGAGTCGGGGCGGGTGGGCAGCCAGCTCTGGGAGCCAGGGGTGAGCCACGGCGGGTTAGGTTCGGAAACCCGGAAGCCCACACAGCCAGCCCGCAATCTGGCTCCTCCAGTTCGTTCCTGCGTGGCCTGAGGAACTTATCTGAGTAACAACCTATGTGCAAAATGGGAATGATCAGTCTGCGTGCTGGGGTTATCAGACAGCAGCTGTAAACTATTTCCCATCCTGCCTTTTATCTCGTTAGCACCCTCTGAGGGTAGCTGTTACTGCTATTGGCTGGGTTGGGCATTTATCTGTTGATGCCCAGTAGATGATGGACAAACGGGAGGTCTGGTTTTCCTGGGGACCAACCTTGCACCCTCCTCCCCAGGTCACTTTTCAATCGGATGGACTTTGAAGACTTGGGGTTGGTAGTAGATTGGGATCACCACCTGCCTCCACCAGCCGCCAAGGCTGTGGTCGAGAACCTCCCCAGGACAGTCATCAGGGGCTCTCAGGCTGGTGAGGCCACTCATTCCTCTTGTTGTTGGGGGCAAAGTGACAGATGCTCCCCCTTCTTCCAGCCGGACTCGGGTCTGGCCGTCAGTGGCCAGGCCAGGGCCAGGGCCAGGGCGCCCTTCAGGAGTGGGAGCTGGGCGGGGGACCTGCGGGCAGCTCTTCTGATCAGCGCTCCCTCCTAAAGAGCTCAAGTGCCCCGTGTGCCTTCTGGAATTTGAGGAGGAAGAGACTGTCATTGAGATGCCTTGCCACCACCTCTTCCACGCCAACTGCATTCTGCCCTGGCTGAGCAAGGTACTGGTTTCCTTCTTCCAGTCCTCACCTTGCCCCTGGGCCCAGGTCTCTAACTTGGTTTACAGACTGTTGAGAGATCAGGGAAGGGTGGGAGTTGGGAGTAGGGGAGGTGATTCTAAGGGTGAAGACCTGACCCCTGTGAACACTGCCCTGTTTCTGCCAGACAAATTCCTGCCCCCTGTGCCGCCACGAGCTGCCCACTGATGACGACACTTACGAGGAGCACAGAAGAGATAAGGTAGAGGCTGGGGTGGGGGGCCAGGATGGTTTCCCTGAGCCCCTTGTTCTCACAGCTCTCCTTCCCCACTTCAGCAGGCCTGGGTAGACCTCAGAATCTCTGACTGCCTTCCCAGAGACTTTGTGGAGGGGTTTAAGACCAGGGAGAGCCAGCCCAGCCCAGCCCCTCCCCCACAGACCTTTAGGTTTGGTCCCTGCCCAGTGTGCCCTCTGTCTTCCAGGCTCGAAAGCAGCAGCAGCAGCATCGACTGGAGTACCTCCACGGAGCCATGTACACGTGAGGCGGCCGGGGCTGCGCGCTGGCTGGCAGGCCACAACAGCTTCCTCTTGCACCTTGAATCCTCATTAAAGGTTTCTTTATCTGCCTCGCCGGGGTTTCACATCCTCCACTAGGTCTCCATTGCTGTTGGTGAAGGTGGTCCTAAACCACGAAGGCAGGCGTCGGGCTCTTGTTCCCTCCCTGCTGGCCTGTCTACACTCAGGGCAGCGGAGCCCGAGTCCAGGAACCTTGACCACTGGGCCAGCCAGGGCTTGGGCCTCTGTGTTTTTATGGTTCAAAGGCACAACATAGCAGGATCTGGCCATTTAGAGCTGATAAACCAGCCTCCATCCCCGTCCCCCTGCAGTTTCTAGTTAACCTTGGAACTTTTAGTTAATGCTTAGAATCCCGCGGGTTTTCCTGCAGCTCCATTGAGAACACTGGGTGTACCATTTTTAAAGTGGCTCCCTAGAGCACCCCCCCCCCCCCCACCGCGCGTGCCAAAGAATCAAAGCTCAAACTGGATTCCTAGTGGGGGAAAGAAGTGTGAGGTGATCAGACCAGGTCAGCTGTTTCGTCTGAGAGGCCCAGAAAGGAACGCAGGTCCCCAGGTCCTTGTGGGGCATCGCATGGCACCTGGCATCACGTGTTCCTGGCAGTCCTGCTCTTAGGACTCCAGAGCTTCCTCCCCTCCTTTGCTTAGGGAAAACCATCCTGGACCAGGCCCTCTCTGACTCTCCAGAACAGACTACAAAGATGCAAATTAGAATTCTTTTAATAGGTATATAAAAAAAAGTACTAAAATACCCCCGTGGTTCTGCTGTGTTATTTGCCCTAAAGGAAGTGAGAGGCAGAGTGAAGAATCCCAGTGCAGCTCAGTGGGCCCAGAAGTGGGCTTTCCCATAAACTAAGGCGTGCCCCCCCCCCCGGCTCCTATCCCCTCTGCTGTTCCCAGCCCCCCAATTCCTGCAGCAGGAACCCCAGTGGTCTGGCTCTGGCACTGGGATAAGAAGGCACCTGAAGGGCTGGCTGGGCGAGTGAGGACAGGTGACCTTTAAACACAAAACGCCACCTCGGCGTGGGGGAACAGGTCATGCTGCTGAGGCAGGGCCTGCTCCTGTATGGCACAGGTGGACGTGGGCTGGCCACTTCTCTGCAAGCAGGGAAGCCCAGATCCCAACAGAATACTTTTCTCACACTGTTTTTGGTACAAAATAAACGCAGATATGGGGTGGGGTGCTGCGGAGGCCAGGCCAGCCACCCTCCCCAGACTTCAGATCATGGCAATGCTCTCGGGGGTGCAGTTGAGGTGGGTGGACGTGCTGCTGCTCCCAGAGGATTTGCAGGCCCGGCCAGGGGCAGGCTGCAGGGCAGCCACCAGTGTGTCTGAGGAGATTGCCCCAAACTCATAGCTGAAGGTGCCATAGAAAATAAGGATATCGATGACAAACACCCACTCGCACAGCGCCGCCCCGTGCTGCAGCTGAGAACTTTCGTGGACAAAGAAGACACCACCTGGAATGAGGCTAAGGAAATGTTCAGGAGGATGTGTGGGCGGCAGGCCACAGCGCCTCCCCCGCCATCAGCCTTCCCCCCAACTCCCCGCCGCCATCCTGGATGGGAGAAGGGCTGGGCTAGAGGATGAGTTCTTGGCTGCCCAGTCCTGGAAGGATACTGAGGACCAGGGTGACGAAGGCGATGACAGCCAGCACACTTCGCAGGTAGGCCACAGCCAGATCCAGGCGCGTGGCGGCCCCGTGGTAGGAGAGGGCGCAGTGCAGGGACACAAAGAGCAGCCCCGCGGGGAAGGCCACGCCAGCTCCCACATAGTGCAGGGACTTGGCGTGATCCACCTGGGCCCAGACAGAAGGGCTGGTCTGTGACGAGGCCCCAGCACTCCACCACCTCCTCTCTCCTTTCCCTCCCACTCTCTCCTTCCCCAGCCCCCAGCCTTGAGGTGCTGCTGCCCCTGCAGGCAGCCAGGCCCTGTACGGGAGAGCTCAAGGGGCCAGGTTGGGTGGGCAGGAGGGCACCTGAAAGTTGCCGACCACCACGAGGCCCGCGGCGTTGGTGCAGCCCGTGATGAGTGCTGTGGTGTTAACCCAGGAGTGCCGGTTCTGCTCCAGGAGCTGCCCGTAGCGCAAGAGGCAAATCAGGGCCACTGCAGGAGGAGAGCAGAGCTGGGGCTGGCTCTGAATCCTTCTCCAGCCCCGGCCCCACCCAGCGAGCCTGCCGGCTTGCCCGCAGTTCTGGTGCTCCTGCCCTGAGGGCTGGAAGGCAGTGGACAAACATGTGGTGAGCTGGGTTTCCTCAGGCCCGGACCAGCAGGGTGGACGGTGTGGGCTATGTGGGAGTTGGCCTTTGGCCTTCAAGGAATGGGAGAGACACAGGTTGCCCCGCTTGCCTTGGCCCTCCGTGGGGGAGGGCTGAGCTGGACGAGGGCTTCCTGGGCCTTTCTGGGGAGGGGGCGTGTGCAAGGTGGGGCTGCGGGGCCAACTCACCCATGAAAGCACCCATGTTGCCAATGAGGCTGAAGAGGCAGCTCTCTGGGGGGTATGTGCCGCACTTGCTGAGGGAGGGGCAAGGGCAGAGTGAGAGGGGAGTCCCAGGGGAGCCCCGTTCTGGCCCGGAGGCTCTCCCCTGCTTTATCTGTGCCCGTTCCTTTGTAGGCAAGACACTGATTTCTGTGAAAGGCCCGTGTTGCTCACGTGTGGCTGGCTCTAAGCAGAGCTCACGTGTCGGGGAGAGAAGGGAGCAGCCAGGAGTGGTCAGTAGACCTGAGACTCCTTGCCGAGGCCTGCGGCTGGTCAGGCTTTCCTTAGCCCAGAATGTGGGCTGGGCAATCAGAAGGCTTGAGCCTGGAGTCTCATGCCTCCACTCACCAGCTGTGTGGCCCGGACAAGCAACAACACTGAGTCTCGGTTTCTGAAGCAATAGATAAAATGATAGAAACAATAGCTGCCTCACCGGTGGGAGGAGGATGAGAGACTATGCATAGAGGCCCAGTGCATCGTGACTACCCCTAGGATAATGGTTATTCCTGACCCCCGAGAGCAGCCAGGGCTGTTTTGGAAGTCTGGGAGGGCTGAGGGTCTCCCTGACCTGCCCAGGTTCCAGGCCTTACCTGATGAGGGGGACATCGTCCAGGGTGCAGCAGGTCTTGGGGCCCCCTTGCTCAGCTGGGTCAGGAGAGCAGGACTCGTTGTAGGACCTGGCAGGCAGGACAGGGAGTAGACTGGGGGAGGGGGTGCCCTGGCCTCTGGCTTGTAGTCTCAAGTCTCAGAGAGGGACCTCCCCAGCAGGGGCAGGAGAGCCGTACACCAGGGCCTGCCTGCAACAAGCCGGAGGGACAAAGGGATGGTGGGAAGTGGGTGGACGGGCAGGGAGCCATGCCTGGGGGGCTCGTGACACTGGGGACACAGGGAGGCCTAGGGTCTGCATCTGGCTGGGGGACAGAGCGCAAGGGAGCTTTAGGTGAGGCTGCAGAGTGCTCCATACCAGTTCTCCACAGGACACACGTGGCGGTTCATCACGGCCATGGCGTACCTGCAGGAGCAGAACTGTCACCCCGCCCCCACCCCTCCCAGCCTGGCCACCCCCCACCAATTCCTCTCCTCCACTCTGATTTCTCCCCCCAGTCAGCCTCCTTGTCCTTGCTGGGGGCTCAAGTTGGAGTGCCCTGAGGCTTGATGTTACCCACACCACACCCAAGCCTGCCGCATGGCCCTCTAGAAGTCGTCCCCTCTAGAGCTTAGAAGTCAGTCTGACAGGGAGACGCTGCTGGACAGCAGTGGTGCCAGCTTGTCCCAAGGGGCGGTGTGCCCAGGCACCAGGCCAGGCTTTGGAGACAGCCAGAGTGACCCCGGGTACCACCCTGGAGCCTGCAACGGGACAAGGGGCTTTGTGTGCCCCCCAGCTCCTGTCGCCTCCCCCTGTACTCACACAGTCCATATGCCGGTGATGGAGAAGGCTGACAGGCTGACAGGAAGGAGGATCCAGGCGGTCATGAGGGAGGGGAGCCAGGGTGGTGGTGGTGTGGGGGGAGGACAAGAGGTAGGCGGGGAGGAGGGGGCGGGCCACAACCATCAGCTGCCCTGGCCTGGTGGGGAGAGACAGATCAAAGTCCAGGGTCTGGTAAGCGGCCAGGAGAGGGGGGAAGGGGAGGGAGAGAGGTGGTCAACATCTCATCCGGAGCTGCCCTTGGGCCTAGGAGCCCATTAACTTTGGGCTGAACCCTGGCTCCTACGTGGACACCCCTGGCATCCACCGAGGGGGTATCCGCGGACCACCCAAACGCCACCGGCATGCCGCCGGCATGCCGAGAGATTCAAGCTGAGCTGTAACATCTGGAAAGCGAGTCACCCTCCTTCTCCTGAGAGACCCGGGTTGGGAGAAGGCTGGAGCTAAGACAATCGAGGGGTCCACGCCAAAGAAAGCAGGGACGGTGTGCGGGGGCCCGGTGGAAGGCGGTGAGGCGGCGGCGCGCAGGCAACCACCTGATCACGGCGCCCTGGCCAAGGGGCGGGTTCACGCGGGAAGCCCGGTCCGGCCCCCGCTCGCGTGGGCGCGGGGACCCCAGCGTGGGCAGGAGCCCGCTGCCGGCAAACCTCCCGCCCCTGGGGACCTGCGGACGGGGGCCTCCCCAAGGAATCCCTAGAGGCCCCAGGAGAGGAAGGAGCCCAGTACGCACCTCCCCGTAGCGCCCAGCCGCCGCGCCCTGCTCGGCCCCCTCGTGGTGCCGTCTCCGGCTGCGGCCCTCGGAGCAGCCCTGAAAGGTTTAAAGGGCCGAGCGGCCCCGCCCCTGGCGGCCCCAGGCCGCGCCGCGCCGCCCGCCGGGACGTGGAGTCCGCGCAGCCCCGGCCCCAGCGCCCGCGCCCTGCCGCAGACTACAACTCCCGAGCCCCCTCGGCGCGTCACGGGGGAGGCGTGGGCGGTGCCCCAGCTTGGGGGACCTGAGCGCTGAGGGCTGTGGCCCGGGGACCTCACTGACACCGAGATGCTGGCAGGACCGCTCGTTTACCTTGTTCCTGCGGCGGAAGCGCCGGGAGGCAGGGACAGCCAGCCTTTCGGCTCCACCTGTGATTGTCATCGCGCACGCGGCTGGAG